TGTGTGTGTGTGTGTGTGCGCGCGTGCTTGCATGTGTCCGCGTCTTGTCAGTCTCCCATTATGTCCCAGCATTAAGTGCACATCTCTCACTGCTCGGTTAATAGAAAGATTCAGCACTTTCTGCTCTTGATATCCCTCTCTGAACAAATGATGCCTGAAATTTTTATTCTTTTTATAATGGAATTCCAATGGCCTTTGCTGCAAATCAACTGGAAATTTTTGCATATCAAGTGGGAAAAATTAAATGTTAACCACGTTTTAATGTGATTAAGGGTGACAGGGACATTATTTCTGCTAATCATTCACCGGCTTGAAAGCTCAAACAAGTCTCAGTGAACGAGCTGTGTTTGTGCTTTCGCCTGCTGCTCTCAATACAAAGCAAGGAAACTTTTGCATGGATAAAATTATTATTTTTTTTATTCAGCATTATATTTTTTATGTGTGTTTATATTACATTAATTACCAGCTGTCATCTTAATTTTTTTAATCTTAATATTTGACACCTGCTGTATTTACAATGCCTCTAATCTAAAGCACAACGCATTGTGGAAAGACAAAATTAAAAAACAAAACCACTGCACTCTGAATGGAGGTGTCCCACTGGGGCCCACCCTCTGGAGCCATAGTCTATTTGTCTTTTTTTGTGTGGGAATCCTGGGGGGGGGATAATTCCTGTGTTTCCACATGCCTGAGGCTTCCCTGGGCTTTGTCAGAGCTTTGATCTGCTTAAATGGCTCAGGAGGGGAAAACAATGGGAGCTTCCAAAGTACATGGGCAGCTACCTGAGACAATGACCTGGGCCTGCTTCCGACACACATTCATACAGGTTGGCCTTTATTATGAGTGCTTAGCCCGGTTAAGCCTGTGAAAGGTGGGCCATCACCTCCAGTTTGTGTTCCTTTCAGATGCAATTGAACGCCGAAGAATAATCCACTACCTACATCCCCTGAAAACACAACAGGTCGAGGAGCCGACACCTGAACCCAGGCTTAAGAGTCTTTTCACAAATCGTGGCAGCTGCTGCCTGGCACACCTGGCACGCCTGGCACGCCTGGCACAGACTCATCAAGTAATAAACCTGTGGGCCCCCTCTGTGCTGCTGGTCCCAGGTTACAGGGACGAGCATCCTTGGGGGGGGTGAGGATGCTGTGGCACGCAGCGCACACACTAACTTTACCCCCTCCTCTTTCTTTCCTCCGTGAAGGGAGACAGAAATGAGAGGTATGAGCTCATGGTGGCTTTTGAGGCTGGGAAGTCGGAGGCTCTGTGGGAAGCTTTTCATCCTCCCAGTGGTGAGCCCCTGAGCGACAAGAGTGCAGACGCTCTCTGCTCCCTGTGGCCGTGGCTGCATGGAAAGGCATTACACATCAGTGTCTGAGAGTAGAAAGAGGAGATCTGACGCACACACAAACAGACACACACAGGCGCACACAAAATCTCCAATGTTGTCAACTTCTTTCAGCCTTCAAAGCAATCAGCAGCTGAAGGAAACATGGTGCAGGCACAATGGGAGAAGCTTTAATTAAGAGCATCATCTCACATCACACCTCAGATAAACCTTGAGGAAGTGCTGGTAACAAGGTTTTTTTTTTAACAACTTTCTTTTCTTTCTAAAAGATGAATCTTGCAACATTAAACGTTTGCACATGATGGATAAAACCCTAACAAACACACCATTCCCATTTTTTTTTTGTGTTTTGACGATGGATTTTGAGAGCACATTATCATAGCCATGACTTTGTTTCAGTCTATTTGTGAGAGGGGAGGGTGGTGGTGAAGAAAAAAAAGAGGCAAACATCACAAATTCAAACAGTAACCCAGACGAGTACATTCTACATCACCCAAAATAATTCTCCATATGGGGTATCCACTGTCATTAACAGCAGTTGACTGGGCGAGAGAAAATAAGGGGGCTGGGGTAGAGTGGGGGGAGTCATCAAGATGTGACAATTGTGACAAGAGCAGGCAAAGTGTAGCGCCGGAGAATGCCACACGGATTTCTCCATCTCTTCTTTTTTTCCAGGATGACAGCTTAATGTCTACCACATGCAATATTTATTCTCATCGTGTGTCAGACTGTCTAGCTGTCCTAGGGAGTACAAAGAATGCCACTTATTAGAATAAAAGAAGAAGGAAGGTAATCAAGGACATATG